GGGGGGGGGGGAGACGCTAAATGAACCGCTCCACAGACCACTGCACAAACGCTCGACGAAGAACTCGCAGATCCTAGCCGTGTACAAAGCTACCACAAACCATGTGAGCCTGCACTTATGGGATTGACCGCTGGATGCCCGCTAAGCTCGAGGGCCGCTTGACCGCTAAACTTGTGGACCGCTTAACTGCTCAGCTTGAGAACCGCTAGACCGCTAAGCTTGAGAACCGCTTGACCGCTAAGCTTATGAACCGCTTGACGGCTAAGCTTGTGGACCGCTTGACCGCTAAGCTCGTGGTGGTTAACTTAGTTAAATTACATTTAACCAAATTTAACCAACTGCCTCGCTTAAGTGGAAGGTGGGTGCCTGGGATACCCAGGGGCTTCCACTATGGCCAGCCAGCCCCTAGATAGAAAACTGCCCCCATGGCTGGCAAATCCCCGCAACCCAGCCATTAGCCCCTATTCCAAGCCAAAGGGACTCTCCGAGCTGACGCAGCCAAATCGGAGAGGGTAAGAGGGGCTCAGGGCTGGGGGAAGCCCTGGCCCCAAACTACCCAAGTCCCGAGGCACCCTACAAGGACAACTAGGAAAAGAGAAACATACGCAAGAAATACCGGTCAAGTGAGACGGCTTGCTACCTCCAGGGTAGTACTGATGGGAGTGTGAATATAGATCTGATACGCATCGCTGGACCATCTGCCAAGTGTCTTGATGAGGTGATCTGGTAAGCCACGAGAGGCTGCTGAAGTAGCAACGCCAATGCGGAAGCTATAACCGGTGTAGCAACCAGGGACCCCAGCAGCGGAGAAGATAGATTGAATATTGGATGTCAGCCATTGGCGATGTAGAGGGGTGCCATCAGAGGGAAGGAAAGGTGGGCCAGGAGTTGAGCCACGGACGTGTAGATACGGGGTAAGGGCGCGTACAGGGCAGAGATCACGTTTACCAGCACCTATGTAAATATCACAACCTTGGCGAAAGGGGTCCGTCTTAGAGCACTTAATATGAATCCTGAAGCTGCTTGGATTGACTAGGGAATCTGCTTGGACATCACTGACAACAAGGTGGATATCAGGATTGAAGGGGGAGTTGACAGTGAACTCACCAGCGCGTAAGAAACCAAAAAACCCGAGACAGCAGGCAGCCCAAAGCATTGTATGGTTGTAGTCAGAGACGTTCAAGGACTGGGAGATAATGTGCATCAGCTCGATTGTGATGGTTGGCGCTGACGCCTATTTCAGCCTTGGTGACGTTTGATACCCCGCAACACACGCTGTAACCAAGGCAACCAACCAGCGGAGAAGGATGACCCTCCTCAACATGAAGGGACCGGATTGCTGAAAGGTAAACTTTTACGGATGAATGGTGGATAGTATCAGCAGGATGACAGCAGAAACGGATGAGCACTTCTTCACTGGCTAGAAGAGCTGATCCTGAAGGAGATAGGCTATTGTCCTGAGCATAGAAATCCAAGAAGTGGCGTTGGGCAGAAGCATAAACTTTCCTAGTAGAAGGGGCAAGACACTGAGTCACATAGAAGTGGCATTTATCTGACAGCGAAGATCCAAGTCCACCACTGAGCGGTTATCTGATAGGAAGTTGACCCGTTTGGAGGCCTACTGGGGACCCCAGAGGTAAGCTGCCACGACGATAGGGAAACGTTCCTTGTACTCGATAGACTAAGAGACCTGTGTTGGGAGCCATGCACTTGAAAACCAGTGACCCTGGAAGACTGCTCCGTAACCAAGAGCCCCAGAGGCATCTGAAGAAACCTCGAAGTAGGGGAGTGGAGCCCACTGGGGCTACTGAAGGAAGCTGCAACCATTCCAAGACTGGAAAAACTCTTGCCGCCGGGCAAGGTCAAGAAAACACTCTTGATTGAGGCGAATCGGGTGCTCATCGCGTCGAAAGGCACATAGCAGGTTGATCATTCGGCGCAAGAAAGAGCGACCTTCGGGTACGACCTTGCAGGCATGCTGAAGGTGACCTATTAGAGACTTCAGTTCCTTGCGTTTACACCAACGCTTTTGTCACCAATCCTCCAACAAGGCAGTTATCCTATCAAATTTGTCCCTAGGAAGGCGTGCCAGCAGATGAAGATTCAATGCCCAGGATGGTTAGGCACGTCGATGGCCCTTCTAGTTTGTCTGGCTGGAGGGGGACGCCATGCTTCGAAAAACAGTCAATTGACCTGTCCACATTGTGTTGACATACAGAGGAGCCGGGAGGGCCAAGAGTGTGGAAGTCATCAAGGTAATGCATCAGGAAGGTGACATCGTAGTTTTGCTTGGCCACCCACTCCACTAAATCTACTATACATGTGAAGATATATGGAGCTGACCTGACACCGAAAGGCAGGACCATATCAACATAAAAGGCACCACGCCATTTCATACCCAACAACTGGCGATCTTCTGTATGGACTGGCACAATACGGTATGCATTTTGCACATCAAATTTCGCCATAAGGGAACCCCGCCCCAGCTGCATTATGCCTGCAATAATGTCATCTACCTTCATGTACTGCAGAGAATAATCATCGCCCGCTATTCCGTCGTTGACACTGTGGCCTGCAGGGCTAGACAGGTCCAGGATAAGACACCATTTCCCAGGTTGGTGGCGTTTGGGGATGACGCCGAAACGACTCACATGGAGGACAGGGAGGGGAGGCTGGGAGAAGGGGCACGCCACTCTTCCGATGAGCTTCAGATTGCAAGTAGTTGTCGATGACCTGAGGGTTTAGGAGTGCTGAAGCCATATTCCCCGTTGCCAACTTCAGGGAAGTACTGTAATTGAAGCCTAGGTGAAAACTATCGCGAAGGCCTTGGACCACGTATGCAAGTTTGTCTGGGTTAGGATGATGTCAGAGTTCATGCTGGAATCTATTCACATTAATAGGAGTAAGCTATGAAACTGGTCTTAAAGGACAAACAGCTGGAGAACACAACGAATAACCGGAACTTGGCAGACCCTGCTGCTGAGAAGGTAAAACAAAAGGAGAACGCAGCGCAAACGCTGAAAAGTTACCATGAGAACCAACGTGAACAGAAACAAAACTATTTACAGCTGAATTAGCTAGAGGTGGCCTAGCGACGGCAGTGAACCCCCCTTTGACGGACAAGGGGAGCGGAACCGTTCTCTCCGTGCGGAGCGGTGAGGGCAGTAAATGCGGGGGTGGTCCCCGAGGCACGATTCACAGGAGTGACGAAACCGGCAGCGACCAAAGGGCCAGCAACAGCGCCCATCGTTCCAGGAGTGGCAATGCTGGTTAGACCGGGAATTGCCTAAAGACCCCAGAGGCTCTGTTAGTGACGAGGCAGAGGAAGTTGAGGAGCCTGAAGCAGCTGAAGTGGTAACCGGAGATCTGGTGTGAAAATTATAGAGGTCTGGGTGCATGCCAGACCAGTCGGTTGAACCTGAGGCTGTGGCTTCTTTTCTGAAGGCGATGTCGTAGTGGAGCCACGATTCGTCAGAAAAGCGCCTTGCGGTCTGAATAATGAGTAACTTGTACTGATTTAAATCTTTCAAGCGAGAGGGGAAGGTGTGGCAAAGAATCATAGAAAAGATCGTGGAGGCTTCTATCCAGGTGACGATGTCTGCTATTTCGATGACCCGTTTCTTAGACCCTGATACCACCAGTTTTCCCTCCAAAAACGCTTGGGATTCGATTTCTTGAGCTCGGATATTGTCCGGAAGTAGGTCAGCCAAGTCTACAAAAAGCCCTGCTGTAATTTTCGAAACAAGCTTATACGGGACTGGAGCATAGCCAGGACCCACCACGAAGGCTTTGTTGAGGTTTGGAAACGTAGAGGACGCAGTTCCGGTCGCGCCACCACAAGAACCCCCAACCACTACAGGCAAGTTGGCGGAGGACGTGGCGAGAAGAGAAGAGACAACCGAAGGACCGCCAAATGAGCTGTAAGTTGAAATAAATGAGGGCACAATAAGCGTACCTGAAGACTGGGAGGTAGAGCCGGGGGTACCGGAGCTGGAGAATGCCGGAGACGGCGTAGAAGTCGAAGCCGAGGAGAGAGGACCAGACGTCGCGGCCATGTTTGAGTTCCCGCCACTTGAATCTCGAAGGGAAGATAGCAACGGAGGGAGCGATTCCGCTAGAGCTCTTGAAATTGCCTGAGCTAACGCGTTGTTGTCCGGCAGGGAAACAGGTTGACTTGGCGGTGAAGCTGGGGTGTTAACTGTAGGAGCTGGGGTAGAACCGCTAGAAGAAGGCGAAGACGCGGTAACCGGAGACGACATAGTAGCCAAGCTGTTGTTCGTTGTTCGCATCCTGAACGAGCGTGACGACACACACGCTTTGAAAAGTAATTGAAAGAAAAAGGATACAAGAAAAAGCACACTGTAGGATTTCATCCCCAGAAATCGCTAAAAAAAGACGTAAGACGCTAAATGAACCGCTCCACAGACCACTGCACAAACGCGCGACGAAGAACTCGCAGATTCTAGCCGTGTACAAAGCTACCACAAACCATGTGAGCCTGAACTTATGGAACTGATCGCTGGATGCTGCTAAGCTTGAGAACCGCTAGACCGCTAAGCTTGTGAACCGCTTGACCGCTAAGCTTATGAACCGCTTGACCGCTTAGCTTGTGGACCGCTTGACCGCTAAGCTCGTGGTGTTTAACTTAGTTAAATTACATTTAACCAAATGAAAAAAATCATGACCTGAGATGGCTTCTTTAAAAAACAGACTCCTCAAGCTGGTTTTCTTCTTTTCTAACCTTTTATTCTACGTTTGTATCCGATTTGTTCTTCCTGGAACATCGATGTAGCTTTGTCAACGAAGACGGAGGCGGCAACAGTAGTGTTGTTACCATATATGGGATTGTATTGTGAAGACTAGGAATCCCGGATGGGGAAGCACGAGGTTGTCAGATCGGTGTAGCAAGCATGGTGAATAAGCGTCGGTTGTTTTGACTCCGGACTCCTTGTTATAAGACACCTTTAGAATTACAGCAACGGCAAAGGAACTTCAAAAAAGCAACGCCAGGTTTAATAAGCAAAACAAGAATTTTGCGCGCACAGCACACTATTTTGTACATTTCGTTGCTGTTTCTGCACGACCACCACGTGAAAATACCTAATTTCAAGTGTTATGGAGGATGTAAACAAGCGACGACGAATTTTTCTTTCTCTGCAAGAAATCAACTCCAGGGAAATTCACCTATGCTGGGCATTTTAAGCGAATTTGAATAAACGCGACAAAGTTTGAGAAAACGCGATGTTTTCGCTGCCGTTGCCGCCTCGATGCTTGTCCTTTCTGTAACGGAAATCAGTTAATAGTAAATATATATATATAAACCAAGAATAAGAATTATAACAAGCGAACCTTTTAATTCTAACTTCGAAACGTAGTCGCTTTAAGGTGCATCTAAATCAATCAAGCGATTAATCACTCAGTCAGTCTTTCTAGGCCCAGTTGTTCGGAAGCCGATTAGCGCTTAACCCAGGATTAAATTTAACCCGGGATTCTTGTTTTCATTGGTTCAAAAGCATTTTCTCGGATAATTTTCTGTTATTTTTAAGAGCATACAATCATCAACTTGTTGACAAAAATAATTAAATTGAATTTACTTTTTTTAATAGCTGAATTCAAATTTTGCACTAACCCTGGGTGATATTCAGTAACCCCGCTTTGAACAACCCGGCCCTGGTTTATTCCTTAACCTGCTAAGGGGCACATACGTGCAGCGGCACATCCGTTCTGTCGGGCTTTCTCAGCGTAGCCCCACAGGATCTGGGTGCAAATTTAAAAAATATATATTGTTAGTAATTTTAATGAAGTTTTTCGTTTCAGCATTCGGAGTAGCTACAGGTAGAGGATTTTGTGTTCCGCCGGATCGGATTGTTTTCCACCTAAGTTTATTGACCCACTCCTCCTGCCAGTATGACGTCACATAGTAACGGGCAAAAATAATTAAACGAAACCTTTTATTGGTTTTTATTTTATGAAGAAAAGAAGGACACAACTGCCTCAGCTAAAACAAGCTAAAGCATAAGGTAAACTTGCTTATTTCTCCCTCGATAAGCTCATCATCAGAGACAGACCGAATGATTCAACTCATGGCTTAAATATATGAACATATAGATTTATCCACTTTATCTGGTAGCAAATGAACAGCGTATCACATAATCAAACATTTACTTGTGGCATATGCCAAAAGTCAACAGCAAGTTGTGATGATGCAGTCAAATGTGGAATCTGCCATCTGTGGATCCATGGCAAGTGTAATGGTCTGACCATTGAGGACTGCAAACACTTAAAACTTAACAATGAGGTATTTTTCTGTAAAATATATACTATTGATTTATTTCCCTTTAGTTCTTTAAATGATATTGAATTTAACATTCTTATGAATTCTAGGAAACCCTCTGACATTGAACTGCTACCCTCCCTCGATATTATCTCTAAGATTACTAGCCTGGGAAGTCTAAACATCTCTGATATTGAGTCAAATATACCTAATCCTATAAATTCTAAATATTATTATCCATCAGATTTTGACAAATTAGCTTTATATGTATCATCTTCGCCATCTTATTTCTCCTTATTTCACGTTAAGATGCCCATCTGGGTGACCTGCAGACTATACTTGCATTGATGAATTCTCCTTTTCATGTCTTAGGCATTAGTGAGACTAGAGAAAACTATTCCTCAGGTTTCAAAATGAATGATAACTTGGATGGTTATATATTAAATTCACAGCCCTCCAGATCTGCGGCTGGTGGTGTGGCAGTTTACACTAGACATACTTTAAATGCTTTTAAGCGAACTGACCTAAGTACAACTGATGATGAATTTGAAACTATTATGTGGGTTGAAATAGTTAATACTAAAGCTAAAAATATTTTGTTGCTGTGCCTATAGACACCCTTCCTTTAGCCCTGTAAGGTTCAAAGAACATCTGGAGTCAACTCTATCTCAGCTAACTAGTGAAAATAAGTCCATCCTCATTATGGGTGATTATAATATTAACCTGTTAAATTGTGAAAGTCATCCTGAATCTAATGATTTCTTACTAATGCTAAAGTCTTTTTTTCTTCTACCTTATATCTTACAACCAACACGTATTACTGAAAGATCAGCCACCCTCACTGATAATATATTTGCAAATACTTATGCTATGAATGCCATCAGTGGTAACCTAGTCTCTAAAATCTCCGATAACCGATCTTCCTCAATTCCTGATTGTAGACAATCTCAAAGTAAACTATAAAGTTTTAAATTACTATAAAAAGGACTTTTCCAAATTTAATGAAGAGAAATTTATCAATGATTTCTCACTTCTAGACTGGAATAGCATCTCAAGTGATTATATGGATGCCAACACTAAATTTGACATCTATGGTCAGATATCTCAGTTTATAAATTCTCATGTGCCACGTTAGTCTCCCTCGCAGCCGTTTTTAGTATCGTCACGCAACGCGTGAGCGTTGCGTGACGATACTAAAAACGGCTGCGAGGGAGACTAGTGCCACGTAGAAAGCTCTCCAAACGTGAAATTAAGTTATCTACTAAGCTCTGGATTACTAAACCTATTCTTACCAAAATTCGATATAGAGATAAGCTCTAGTCCAAAATCATTAGGTGTAAACAGTCAAATCCAAATTTGATATATCTTCATAAGAAATTCAGGAATAGTGTTGTCAAAGATGTTAAAGCAAACAAATCTGATTATTTCAAGAATTAATTTTTGTGTAATAAGAACAATATGAAAAAAGTCTGGTCTGGAATTAGATCAATCATCAACATTAGTAAAGTTAAAGCTGATTACATTCTTAGTATTTTAGAAAGTGGAAAAACTGTTGACAATCCCTGTGCTATTGCTAACATTTTTAATAACAATTATTTCTTTGTTAATGTGGGTAAAAACATAGACAAAGACATTCCGTGTGGGAACTGTTGTCCAACCTCTTTTCTGAAGGGCAATTTTCCTGACTCAATGTTTCTCTCCCCTGCTACTTCAGTTGAAGTTGATTCTTACATCTCTCAAATGGACAATAACAAATCCATTGGTCCTTATAGTATTCCAGTCCCATTGCTAAAAATTCTTAAGACTCATATTTCCCCAGTTATTTCATCCCTAATTAATGATTCTTTTCTCTGTGGTATTTTTCCCAGTAAACTTAAACTGGCAAAAGTTACCCCAGTTTTTAGGAAAGGCCATAACTCTGATTCTCTCCCAATCACCTGTGGAGTACCTCAGGGATCCATTCTTGGACCTCTGTTGTTTTTGCTATATATTTATGATTTACCAAACACTTCGAAACTGCTCAGTTTTCACTTATTTGCTGATGACACTTTTATATATTTTTCACGTAAAAACCCTTAATGATCTCGAACTAATCTTAAATCAAGAGCTCCATGCAGTGGTTGAGTGGATGAAATCTAATAGACCAGCTCTCAGTATTTTGAAAACTAATTTTGTTCTTTTTCATTCTAAGAAGACTTAAACCAAACAAGTCATTAAATCTAAAAATTGATGGTGTGAACATCCAAGAAGTTTCCACGGTCAAATACTTAGGTGTCACTTTTGACTCAAACTTGAATTGGAAAAATCATGTTAATGAACTCTGCTTAAAACTATCGAAAACTGTAGGTATATTTTCCAAATAAAGGTACTATGTTAATGTTGGTGTACTTATTATGCTTTACTATTCCCTTATTTACCCCTTTCTTACTTATGGTATTCAAGTTTGGGGTCTTACATACCCAACCTACCTAAAACCAGTAACTACTTTGCAAAAACGAGTCATCAGAATAATGACTTTTTCCGACCCTAGATCTCATTCTGAGCCATTGCTGAAGTCTCTCAGACTCCTAAAATTCTCTGATATAATTCATCTTGAAATTCTCTCTTTTGTTTATTAGTGGTACCACAAACTAAGCCCTTCTTGTTTTGTTAATTATTTTAACCCAGTATCTTCAATTCATTAATATAATACCCGTCAATCAAAGAGTGATAATCTGTTTGTTAAGTCTGTTCATACCACTCAATACGGCATTCGTTCTCTCAGTTACACTGGTCCAAAACTTTGGAATTCTTTATATATTGATGTAAAAAAAATCAAGCCGTTTTCCAGTTTTCGTCAATGTATCAAGAATTCTGTGATTGATGGTTATAATACTATTATTGATTCCTAATGTTTTACGATTATATTATCTTAACTACTATTTAATTAATGAAGTAATACTTTTTATATAAAACAACTATTTTGTATCTATATTCCTTCTACTCATATTCTTGTTTGGGTCACCTACTCGGTAAGTTCCACGAACTATTTAGATGTCCCAAACTCTGCACAATGAACCTACAATTGAAATTCTCTTTCCCTTCACAACCTCTCGATTTTATATTTTAAAGCACTAATTTGTATTAACTGTAATTATTTTGTGAGTTTAAATAAAAATTGACTTCACTTGACTTGACTTGACTTGGTTTTCTGGATTTAATTACAGAATTACAGGTGTATGCCCAATAAAATGCGGTAAAGCAACAAGATTCAATGCTCACAGTCTCTTACAAATACCTGTCATTTAGCTTCCTCTTTCAACGCTACAGCTAAGCGAACTTTGAAAGGATTGATATGGGGTTCCACTAGCTCTGAAGAGCTGAAAATACGCACAATGTAAAGTATAATACATCCTTTGATGAACCTCCTATTGCTGTGTCTAAATTCCTCAATCTTGCTGCCTACTGGCCCTCAAAAGTGTGACCGGTCGGTATTATTGCCTGTAAAATTTGCTTGACGATAGAAAGGTATCTTTAAAATTCATTACACCAATGGACGCTTCATTCCAAAAACTCTTAAGTCTAGTTTTCTATGTCAATAGGGACCCCAAAATCTCCAAATCCAAGAAATCGGAACAGTATTTCCGTGGTAAAATCGAAATTGTTATCCGTCTCTTCGATGAACACTTTGGTCGCCATTTTGAAAGTCACTGACGCGAGACGTGACGTCATACTGGCAGGCGGACTGTACCACAGATTTCCTTGGAGACACCTCCCCCCCTCCCCCCTACGTACAGGTAAAAGCAAAGGTCATTTCTCCTTTGGACACGTCTGATTTACACGCGTACACTTTTCTCACTCCTGAGTGTGTAAAAGGACGCGAGTTCACTAAGAGTGAAGAGAAAGATTGGGGAAATCAAAAATGTATTCTGTCTCTGAGATTGTAGCGTCGAAAAATGACGGGGCTCCTTCTCGGAGATTTCAATAGCTTACGTGGCGGGCGTTGAAAGGAAACAAGAGAAAGCGAGAGAGAACCACTTTCCCAAAGTGCTACTAAATTAATTCCGACAAATTTGATTCTCACAGTCAGGTGAAAAACATGGGAAATTGGAATGTATAAGGAGACTACCAAGCAGTGAGTAAAGATGAAAATGCTTTCACCGGCGAATAGAAACAATAGAAATTGGAGTGAAGGTGAACAGGCTTTTCTTTCGAAAATTTCAATTCCTGTTATAAAAATTTTCGGTCCACTGTGGAATCTAAGTAATTTTCCACGTGGTTCGATCGGGTTTCGATCTCTGACGGAGAAGCATTACACGAGTAACGCTGATGTCATTGGTTTTTAAACCGTAAAAACTTTATTTCTCATCAGCCTTCTTTTCTTTTTCGAGCATAATCTGGATTCTCACTTTACGCTTGGCCATCAAAAAAATCGTAAATATTGTAGCTGCACTAGGTAAGGTTGGAAAGTTAAGGAAATAAATAAAAACTAAATTAAAGGAAAGGAAACTAAATCACTAACATTTCACCCCGGCAAGTCGTAAAATAGAAAAAACTGTTTAAGTTATCAACAGCTCACCTTTTTCCGCTTTCACGGTCTTTGCCTCGTGGCAAAAACACCCTCAAAAGCTTGAAATTGGGTGTGGAGTTCTTCAGGCCGATGGCAAGAATACGATTGAGTGGACAGGCTGCTAAACAGGTCACTTTGCTTTCCACATCAATTGTACTTAGAAGTTCACCAGATCTAACGTTAAACAGGTTGACGTTAAACACCTGAACAGTTAAGTCAGAACCAGTAATAACACATTGATCATCACTGATAAACGTTAAAAAAGAAGAACGAGACAATGACGGTAAAGTACGGAGCTTGATCCCTGTTTCGGCATCCAGGACTAACACTCCTCTCATCGTCCCAACAATAAGGAACTGTTCCATAGGGGACAACGCCACATCCTGTTTATAGCACCCCATGTCAATGCCTCTTTTTTCCCAAACCACCGTAGGGCCATACCAAAACTGAGGAGCGTGAGAAAGTAACAGCTGAAGAGAGTGAGAATCGGTGATAGTTAACAGCTGACATTTACTATTACAGGTAAGAATTCTTCTCCCAAAACTTAAGATTGTTTGTACGAATTCTCGTCTGCTGGTATCAAGGATCATCACTACCCTCTCTCCAACAACTGCTACTCGTTCTTTTGATACAAGGATCAATTGTTCAATTCCAGACGGACTAGGCCACGTTTCGATACATTTGGACAGATCATAATTCCAAAACTCGAGAGTGTATAGATTCGTTGAAATTAGGACACCTCCGCTCACAGGACACAAAGGACAGAAACCTTGCAGTGTAAACAGGCAGGTTATCTCCTTACACTTCCCATTGAACATGTCTCTAGCAATGACTGATTTCTCACTTGCAACATACACGGTCTGACCATCCAAACTCACTGCTATCCCAGTAACTTGAGTAGATTCACCTTGACTGCTTTTGTTAAGGCCTTTAGTGTCCACCATTTCTATTGTACACTAATAGTACTGTAACAAACGTTGATCGTCAAGAAAAAACGTCAAAGGGTAAAATGACCCGTCTGTGGTAACAGGATCACCAAATAAAAACCCACAATCATTGAAAGAATCAAAATTCTTTAAAGCATGAGACAAGTCATAAGGGATATCATGACAAACCGTTAAAGAAAATGTGCTGGGGGTATCCCTAACGACCTTGAGACAAAATACGTCTTCGGCACGGCGACAAAGGAGAAATCGATGATCGGATGAAAACTTTACCGCGCCATATACTTCTGGGGTCGCTGTATGTGCTAGTTTTCTGAAACCACACATCGCATCAACCAAACTGATTACTCCCGAAGAATGTGAAATTGCGAGAAGCCTGCCATCGCTAGTCCATGCAAACGATAAAATGTCTTCATCTTCAAGGATTCGATCAACCTCTGAACCATTTTCTAAACTCCACAAGACAAGGCATTTGGAACTCTCAAGACAATTAGTTAGAATCATAGTCTTGTCACCGGAAATAGAGCAAACTGAAAATCTACAGTTACTTTCGGGAAAAAGGGGTTTCAAGTCTCCGTTCATAGTACTGTAGGCCTGACTTAAAATCCCTAGTAAAATACATTCCTTTGTAGGGTGAAAAGCAACGGAACGAAACAATGAAACATGTACAGAAGGTAGCTTTCTAGCATATCGAAGGAACCAGGGCGTCTTGAAACTCTTTTCTACTATGACTGGACGTGTCCACACTACCTGCCAGTCTGGAGTGACCACAGCCGAAGCATCCCATCTTCACATTCGCACACCATATAATCCAACTGCGGAGAGACGTCCAAACAGACCACAACAGATAAACATTCAAATCGGGCTACAACACCCCCCTGCTGCGTCTCGTTGTGAACATCTTCCAAATATGCTATTTCAGGATACTTATTTCGCAAAAGATTTGACGCCTCAACAGTCAACACTTTTCCTCCTTGGTTAAGTATGGTTTGAAGAAACGTACGAGGGGTATCCATAAGCAAACGGAGGTTCCTTCTCAAAAGAAACAACAAGGTGTCCACAACACTTTGGTTATCATTTGATAACAACGTAAAAATCTCCTGCTTTTTAAGCCACAGAAGATCTTCAGCCGCTGTTGTGCTGTTAAAGCAGGTCTTGGCATAAACTATGTCTACATCAATAATGTAGGCCTTTATCAGTTCGTCCAGCTTATGTGGCTCTCTCTTGACGCCTTTGTGTAGCATGTGATGTGCTCCATGAGACAGCGCGTACCTCTCAGTGGCGCTAAATTGTATGTTATGTACACTTTTCCGTTTCAAAATATCAAGTTCGTCAGTACATAGGGCTGCTAATATACGGTGTCCCTCATTTTCATCCATGATGAATTCATGTTCCACATAACATGAAATGTCTGTTAACCAATCTTTGACTGACTTGTGAATGACATGAAGACAATCGTCACGGACAGGAAGAAGTGACGACACACTAGTCAAGGCTCATAGTACTTTACGCCTTGTGAGTGGTGAATTTATACTTGGCATTAACACTTTGGACACAAAACCAACTGGCAGGGGCTCTCTTGAAGCGGTCATGGTAGATAACAGATTCAGAAAATGCTCTTCATTTACGTCGAGTTCCTTCAAGAGTTCACGTTCCAAACGTTTGAAATAGGAATGATACACTGAAGAAATTCCTGATGGTAAACTGTCAACAAGGTTTCCCTCTTGGACAATTGATGCATTTTCAGTAATCGACAATATAAGAAAATGGGCGTACAACATCAGTCCTTCAGATTTCAAAACTAGTCTTTCCACAAACTCGGCCACATTCGCTGTTTTGACTATGTGTTCCAGCCGTTTAAGACAAAATACCCTGACATCTTCTAGATTCTCTTCAGCATTAGACTTCAGTTCAAGCGGCTTCAAGTGCTTTAGTTTGTCTGTAATGTTTAAGGCTTGACGCGTTGTTACGACAAAACGAATCCAAATAGGGAGCTTACAAAACTGATTTGCAATCACATCAAGAAGCTCATTCCGTCCTCGGTATTCGCTTTCATCCAAACCATCTATCACCATGAGCATGTCTCTTCCTGGATCACCTAAGGTACTTAGAGGTTCCTTGAAAAGCAGTGCAAACAACTCCTCAACACCCATGTGGTTGAGATCTGTGCCAAGATTTCTCGATAGCTGTTCCACAAGAGCTTGCTTGTATTCTGGCAAGGCATGGGACAAGTGACAGGCAAGTGACTGAATCATCAGCTGAGGCTTACAGTAGCGTACATTGTTATACTGACAAAAGTGGCTTCCTGACAGCCTGCCAGCCTCTTGCATTCTCTTGCAAATCACAGCTGCGATGACAGATTTTCCCATCCCCGCATTTCCACTGATCACCATCACGCGGTGCTGCGAGCTTTTGTCATCCAGCCAGTTCTGAACACTGTCAAATACCCACTCACGGGTGCCTTTTTGAAATCGTTCCGCATAATACTCAATGTCTCCTCTGAATTCTGACTTTGTAAGATTTCGAAGGACCTCTTCTGACCTGTCCTTGTCTTTTCCGTCTTTTTCCGCTCTTTCTTTTATTTCCTTTAGCCCTGCTTCAACTTCCTTCACGTTCTGACACACTTCATCAACGCTTTGTTGTGTCTTAACCTGGGCCTGACGAACATCTTCAACTGCTTGATGCGTTTGGCTCTGAGACTTATTTAAGTTATTCAACTGTGACTTGATATCCTCTTCACTGTCAGCCCACTCATACAACACATCAATATAATCTTGCTCTGCACCTTTCTCTGCCTTCAACCTATCTACTTCCGCCTGATCAAGGCCAAGATTCACAAGAACACCACTAATTTCAGTCCACAGAGCAGAGAAAGTTGGTGTATCAACACCAGTGGTTGTCACATGGCCATACAAGACATTGCGATAGAACTTGACCCGTGCAACGTTAGCTTCATGAGACGTGTCTCTTGAGGGTGGTTAAGTGTGCCATCCTGAGGGGGGAGGGGTCAATCCACAAATGTTGGTCAGAAGGAGAAACAGAAGAGTGATGTCAAAGGTGTTGGAGTCTGGTGCGACTCCACAAGGTGGAAATAGTTTGTCCCACTGATGGCCATTTAGAACTCGACGACGTAAGAGATTGTTTAGAATGGAGTAATTAGCATTTAAGTCAGTAATCAAGTTTGCAGGAGGATGATGACCATCAAAAATCTTCCTAAGAACTGTTGTTCCACCGTCGATAAGAAGCCTGCTGAGCTTGGCTCCATTTGTCTTCTCCACAGAACTGGCCAGCGGTGATGGTGCTGCGGCAGCCATGAAAAGGTTCACTACATATTCCTGCAGGGGGAAGAAAAACAATGCAAAATTGTTTTTGTTACTATCCTACTCTGAAGCAATTATTCCGGAAGAGAACTGGCTTAAAACAAGCATTAAATTGTCTAAATTCCTAATGCAGTACACTTGCCTCAAAAGTTGTCCTTAGCCTCTTTATAAAAGCGAGTTCTAGTGCACCATGACTTTTCACGTGAAGGCGTGTAACATAATCTTCATGTGAATGAAAAGTGTTTTACATATAGTGTATGAATAAATGAGCACTAATTAAGAATCACTTTCAAGGAGAAACAGAAGTGATCAATGTTACTGTGACTTGTTAATTGGAGTGCTTACGATCATAAAAATGATTTTTTTTCTTATTCAATTTTATGAAAAAAAAGGAAATTAAAATATAAGAATTCGTGTTACTAAATCTGCTTATTATAACTAAATTAACCTCTTTTCTTCTTGCAGTAACACACTCTTCAAGGGTTTTGTATAACAAATGACAGAAAATTTTTTTTTTTTAAAATTAGACAAATTTCAAATCATGTACGTTAACAATTTGTTTGACATGACACTTGACTGACTGTAGTCATATCCTGTTCTTAGATATCAGATTTTGGGAAGTGGAGCTGAGCCCCACCCTTGATCCGCTCCGCAAATCCCTCTGTTTTGTTCTCATGCTGAGCCCAGATTTATCATGCCTGGTTATAATTCCCCTCAAGACATGACAAAAAGGTTTATGGAGGGGAGATTGCTTTGAGTTAGTCCAATGCTGTCTCTAAAGGAGTTTTAGGTTAGCTGATATCCCTGGAAATACTGTACAGTTTTTAGACAGCAAGTATTAATTAATGTCTGTGTCCATAATGCCAAACTGTGGGCTGGATCATTCATACAATTTAGGTTCCCATGAGTTGCTGTCAAAACTCTCAGTGATGCTGCAGCATTAGTTTGCGAGCTTTTGTGGTAATTTTCACCCAGGCAAATCTTATCCAAAACTCTTGAATTTACTTTTTAAGAAATTATTTAATTACTTAATACAAGTATGCTAAATATTTATCAATATATCAAATGAAATCCCCAACTTACCCCCTGATATTGTCTTTGATCATTGCTCCACTCTTGTATTTCTCTCCTTTAGTCCACCATCTATCCAATCTGTCAGTCATGCAATTCAAATATTAATTAGAGATCAAAACAATCTACAGTTCCAGCCCAGTAAACAAAATACACTGTATTTCCCTTAGTATTCTTAAGATACAACTGTCTGATGGAAAATTATCTTTGGGCAGTCCGGCATTTTTTCTATTTTTTTTCTCTCCCCACAGTTAATTGTCACAACAGTAATAATTGAAGCATTTTATTTGGATAAACTAGTAACTGAAAAAAGAGAATTTGTTTCATGAATGTTTTTCAAAAAAAAAAAAAATTGACAATTAGAACTCAATTTCTGATTGGCTCAAATCCCAAAGCAAATTCTTGATAACCAGCTAACATTGACCAAAATTATTTGGTAGATGTTTGCAATATCCAGGAAAATGACATCAATAATACAAAAGCTATTGCCCGAAAAAATGACGCTATAACTGAGAAAGCCCTGGGAATGAGTTTGTTTTGAGCTCAGTTGTTTCCAGAGGATGGAGCTGAAAATGGCAGAATTATTGGTTTTGTGAGGCAGAGATACCTAAACTTCTGCACAAAAATCAAGACCAGCAAAAATCCAACTCAATAAATGACAACTGCTATTTGGAGAACATCTACTAAATGTAACATCCCTTTGTATCCTGAATTTGCCGAGGAACAGATAAAATTTAGATAGGAAACCCTAAGACATGAATAACATCTGTTGCTCCAAAGACTTAATATAACCCATATAAATAATAAAATAGCAGCAAATAACATGAATAAAGTCTACCTGAAATTTAAATTTGCAGACTTCATTTCATCACTACACAGACTGGTTGATTTAGAGAAGATCAGCAGTTGTATGAACTTTGCTGGGAAAACTTTTTCAAAATCTGATACCTGTATGAAAATAAAATGTTGAGAATAATGTAAGTTATTTTTATTGCTCATGGTGAAAATACACTCAGTGCTTAGTGGTGTAATGATTAATCGAACTCTCAATTAATCGCGATTATGACCATTCGGTTCGATTCAGGATTCTTTGCTTCCACGTTTCGATTTTGGTTTGATTATTGCACACCTTTTCCAGGGTGCCCTTAGTGAGTTACAGTGAAACCCCGCTATAACGAAGTGTCACGGTACCGAAAAAAATGTTCGTTATACCGGGGTCTTCGTTATAGCGAAGACCCCGTTATAACGAATTATCCGGTCAACAACAGAAATATTCGTTATAGCGGGGTAATTTAAAATTACCAAAAATTCAATACTACACGTAGAAATCATTACTTTTATTCATTTTATATTGTAAACTATAAGTACAACGGTTGTCAATCGAGACATAAAATTCAAGAACATTTTCAATTTAAAACTTTAAAATTCAGAAGTAACAGTAACATCCGAGGGAAATCATCGATGTCGTTTCCTGTAGTAATCATCTCGATTTGTCTCTACCCAAAAAACGTTCATCGTTTTACTTAAAAAAATACATCAATGGAAGCAACAACTTATTCCTTTCGATCTTGTATTCGAGGCTACCATGTGTATAAGGATATATGGGATTCAGTTGTTGGTGAAGTTCTGGATTGCGAGGTAAGACGTGTTTAACAATGTCAAATGTAGAGAACAGAACGTTGGCGATAAAAACAAACCCCTTAGTTCTTTGAAAATTTGGCGTTACAGTATTGATGAATGAATTGATCTCCGCAACACGCGTGTTTTTTTACGCAGCACGAGCCTGATAACCCACACGACACCCATGCTGTTGCCGTTAAACGGGTTCAAGATCAAGGAGGCATGCAGCAGATCGTAGGTCATGTGCCATTGACACTGTCACGTGTATTTCACTTGTTCTTAAAACACGGAGGACAAATCTCAGTGGAAGTGACTGGTAAACGGAGAAACAAGGGCATTGGACTAGAAATTCCGGCTACTTATTTGTTTTATCACAAGAAGCCTTCGAAAGTGAAGAAGTTAATAGAATTAATAAGAGACAAAGAAGAGAGCAGAAGTTAATTGATGTCGAAATACTGTATAACGCCAATGTCTATGACATAATAAGCCGTTGACTGATAGGTTGCTGTCAAAGGATTTGTTGACTGTTGATCTGTACAGCGTTTTATCTTCTGTCGCGTGTTGAGAAAACCGGAATAAAGCAAGCTGTGAATTCTACTCTACGCTCAAATCTGTCGTTGTTACTGACTGCGACCGAGCAACAGGACAAAATATTCGTTATAGCGAGGTAAATTGTGCGTTGGGACCGTCAAAATCTTTCGTTATAGCGGGGATTTCGTTATAGCGGGGTTCGTTATAGCGGGGTTCGTTTCAACATATTTTACTGTAAATCTGCCGGGCTTTCAAATGTTGTTCTTTATAACGGGGTCTTCGTTATAGCGAGGTTCGTTATAGCGGGGTTCCACTGTATTAGATTGTAAAATCGGAATTCAGCACGCTTTAAATTGTGCGTTTATGATTGACGAGCAAGGACAATAGCATTTTGTACGCCATTTTGTGTTGCCTGGTAAAAATGCTGTCCTTCAACCACCCCTTGAGAATTCCCAAATAAGGCAAACTATGTGTGACACGCTCTCTGTCAGGTTCTCAAACATGGCAACGAACCAAGCGACTGTGAATCTTCCTGTCCCTGCTACTATTCTCAAATTGAGGGTTTAGGGTTGCATGTTGTTTACATTACGCGTTATGTTATAAGAATTAAGAAACATTTACATAATCAAATGGAAATGATCGAAATCGAAAGGCAATAATCAAAATCGAATTGAACCACTGGGAATGTGAATCGTTACACCCCTATCAGTGGTTCGAGCTGGATTAAATGTACAAACACTTCACTTAAAATGCTGGTAAGCCATAACTTGCCATTACACTAATCAGGGATTTCACTAAGATTTCAAGTTGCCAGGTAAATACAACAAGTAGGAGGAGAATCAAACAGCTATGGATTTCTTTTGGTTCTATTTTTCTTCTAGATTTTCCTATGAAAGTAGCCAGGGACCACGTTCATGGTAGCCGGGGGAAATCCCCATCCCCTGGTTCTTAACGACAGTCCTGCTAATGGTAAATGCTAACAAAACCACAACTTAGTTACCAAGTCAGTATTAAAATGTAACTTGTTGTTACTTCTTAAACCTTAAAGTAACTAAATGTGACAGTCATTTTAATATATGTCAGCAAATTGTCTTGCTTGTGTCACCTGTGACACTTAAAGGAAGGAAGGAGCTGGGCACTAATAATCAAAGGGAGTACTTCACTATAATTTTATTTCAGCTAAATCTTTCTAACATAGAAAAACAAAAGCAAACATGTGCTACACCTTTTTCTACCTAAATGTTATGTCAAATATTTGTGGTGAGATGTCTTGCTTATTAAAACAGTGGTTGGTATTCAAGTGTACCAAAGAAACATTACACTGACACCAATATAATGTACCAGCAGGCACGTTTATAAAATATATATTGATTATCTCATCCTCCTCATCAAAAATATTCCTCTTTTGTATCCCTACCATTTAAGATAGAGATGGGGAAGGGGAGGGGGGTGCTTATTTGAATGGGGCGTGGCCTAGGGGGTGGGTGCTTACTTGGAGGAGGGTGCTTATCAAAGGGTAGGTGCTATATTTGAGGAAATATGATATATGTGCTTGATTTTGTGAGGTAAAAATTGTCCTCTATTATTTTTGCTGATTTCTGCTTATTTTTCAAGTCAAAAAAACATATGCAAAAAACAATCTGACATCACTAATTTTGTTTCCTTTTGTTCAGAAACAAAAACAAACCTGTCTGTTTTGCTAAATCAACAGATTGGAACATTTATAAAGTTCAATAAGAACAAATGGTATTATAGACAACAATGGTAACAAA